ATAACCCCTGCACCTAATGAGACCCAATCTGCATTTCGTCCAGATGAGTTGGAACGACTCCGAACCATTCTTGATTATCTGAGTAAGCCATCTGATACTAGTGCTTTGGCTATGACTGGTATGAGCTCCAAAACTCATTCTTTCATTTCTTCATGTAATGATTTTAAACATTCTTGGGTTGTTGATTCTGGTGCTACTGATCATATGGCTTGTTGTGCTGACTCCTTTATTTCTTATCATCCTACCATTGGAACTCATACAATATCCATAGTTGATGGCTCACATACATCAGTTGCGGGTTCTGGTGACATAAACTTACAGCAGTCCTTACATCTTAAGGATGTTCTTCATGTTCCTAAACTCTCCACGAATCTTCTTTCTATTCACAAAATTACAAAAGATTTGAATTGTACTGTAACCTTCTTCCCTACCCATTGTGTTTTTAAGGATCTCGCCACAGGGAAGACGATTGGTAGTGCTAAAGAGCAAGGTGGGCTGTACTATCTGGTGTCACAATCTCCCACAAATAAAGTAATAGATCACACATTCATGTCTCATGGCCAATCAACTGTTGATTCTTTAATTTGGCTGCATCATAAGCGTTTGGGTCATCCTCCATTTAGTTTACTCAAATCTTTATTCCCGTCATTGTTTTTGTCTAAGTCTGTTGAGTCTTTTCATTGTGATGTTTGTGAATTTGCTAAGCATCATCGTGTGTCTTTTCCTTCTAGTATTACTAAGAGTGTTGAACCTTTTGATCTTATTCATTCTGATGTTTGGGGTCCTTCTAAGGTCCCTCATTCTTCTGGAAATAAATGGTTTGTTTCTTTTATTGATGATTACACTCGTGTCACTTGGGTTTACTTAATGCGTGAAAAGTCTGAGGTACCACAACTGTTCTTTCAATTTTATAAAATGATTGAGACTCAATTTTGTAAAAATATCAAAAGACTAAGGACAGATAATGGTACTGAATATGTCAATCACTCTTTTTCCCAATTTATACAAAATCAAGGTATGATTCATGAACTTACTTGTGTAGACACCCCTCAACAAAATGGGGTTGCTGAAAGGAAAAATCGTCACCTTCTTGAAGTTGCTCGTGCCTTACTGTTTCAAACACATGTACCCAAATGCTATTGGGGAGATGCCATTCTTACTGCAGCGTTCTTGATCAATCGTCTACCCACTCGGGTTCTCGATCATGTAAGTCTTATTCACTCCATGACTTCTTTTTTTCCTTCTGTTCCAACTTTGCAAAGTCTTCCTCCTCGAGTGTTTGGGTGTGTTGTCTTTGTTCATATTCATAAACAACATCGCAGTAAGTTGGATCCTAGGGCTCTTAAATGTGTCTTCCTTGGTTATGCTCCTGATAAGAAGGGCTACAAGTGCTATCACCCTGGAAGTCGAAATTTTTTTGTTTCTATGGATGTTACATTTCAGGAATCTGAGTCCTTTTTCCAAGGTCCTCATCTTCAGGGGGAGAATAATTCACCAGAAGACTCATCACCTTCCTTCTTTGAATCTTCAGTGTCTACTTCTTCACCTGTGTCAGTGTCTCTTCCTCTTGTTCCTGTTCCTAATGTGTCTATGTCTGATCCTCCTGTGACTGATCCTCCTATGACTGATACATCAAATACACCAGAGATACGGAAGATTGTAACACCTGAATTGGTATATCAAAGAAGGAAACAGCCCACATTGCCTCAACAGCAACCTCAATCGTCTGAACCACTGGTAAGTCCTGAATCTCATATTTCTGATCATGATGTTAATACGTCTGATGACTTACCCATTACTACTGTTTCTGATGACTTACCCATTACTACTGCTTCAGATGATTTACCCATTGCTTTAAGAAAAGGAAAAAGATCTTGTTCCAAGAAAACTTGTTCTTCCTGTCCCTCTTGTACTCAATACCCTATCTCCCATTTTGTTTCCTCTGCTAATCTTTCTGTGCAGCACAAAAGCTTTGTTTCAGCACTAGATTCTACTTCAATCCCAAAATCAGTACATGAAGCTTTGAAAGATGGGAATTGGGCTCAAGCCATGCAAGAGGAGATGAATGCGTTGGAGAAAAATAAAACATGGGAGGTTATTGATAGACCCAACGGAAAGAAAACAGTAGGGTGCAGATGGGTTTATGCCCTGAAATATAATTCTGATGGCACTCTTGAGAGATACAAGGCTCGATTAGTCGCCAAAGGTTACACTCAAATCTATGGCATTGATTATGAAGAAACCTTGCTCCAGTTGCAAAGATGAATACAGTGAGAATCTTGTTGTCCCTTGCTGCCCATTACAATTGGGATATAAATCAATTTGATGTGAAAAATGCTTTCCTCAATGGTGAGTTAGAAGAAGAAGTCTACATGGAAATCCCGCCTGGTTTTGATTCTGTGAAGGGGGAAAATAAAGTTTGTCGATTAAAAAAGGCCTTGTATGGATTGAAACAGTCACCTCGTGCTTGGTTTGGAAGGTTTACTAAGGTTATGATGACCTTAGGATATAGACAGAGTCAAGGAGATCACACTCTTTTCTTCAAGCACTCCCAAAATGGGAAGCTTACTGTGCTCCTTGTATATGTTGATGATATTATTATCACAGGTGATGATTTTGTGGAGAGACAGATTCTGCAGACACGACTTGCCTCTGAGTTCGAAGTCAAAGACCTTGGGAAACTAAGATATTTCCTAGGGATAGAAGTAGCTCATTCAAGCAAAGGAATTTTTATCAGTCAGAGGAAATATGTTTTGGATCTTCTCAAAGAAGCAGGGAAGCTCGGGTGTAAACCCTCTAATACTCCTATTGAGCAGAATCACAAGATAGGCTTTGAAGAGGAGAGTCCTCCAGTTGATAAAGGACAATATCAACGGCTAGTTGGAAAATTGATATATCTGGCCCATACTAGGCCAGACCTAGCTTATGCTGTTAGTGTTGTCAGTCAGTTTATGCACGATCCAAAGGAGAAACACATGCAGGCAGTAGAGAGAATTCTTCAGTATCTTAAAGCTACTTCTGGTAAAGGATTGTTATTCCGACGTGATGGTAATCTCTCTTTAGAAGTCTACACTGATGCTGATTATGCTGGATCCGTGACTGACCGTCGTTCTACCACTGGTTATTGCATGTTTCTTTGCGGTAACTTGGTGACATGGAGAAGTAAGAAACAAGATGTGGTTGCCAGATCAAGTGCAGAAGCTGAATTTCGAGCTATGGCTCAAGGCATTTGTGAGTTACTGTGGCTGAAAATTGTACTTGATGATCTCAAAATAAAATGTGAGGGACCTATGAAGCTGCTATGTGATAATAAGTCCGCTATTTGTATAGCTCATAATCTAGTTCAACATGATCGGACTAAACATATTGAGGTCGACCGCCATTTCATCAAAGAGAAACTTGATAGCGGGTTGATTACCACTCCATACATTCCCACTGGGCGTCAATTAGCTGATCTATTGACAAAGGGACTTCCTTCAGATAGATTTCAAGAACTTACTAGCAAGCTGAGAATGATAAATATCTATTCCTCAGCTTGAGGGGGAGTGTTGTAAATATTAGGTCTTTTATTATTATTAGTATTTGTTGTATTGGGCCAAGCCCATTAGGTCAAGAATTAGGGTTTTTGGTCTCTATAAATAGAGACCTCTTTGTACCATATTAATACACAATTCAATAATATTTAAAATACCCTTTTCTTTCAAGTGCATTTCATTTGACTCACCTGTACAACCCCTTCGAAGTTACTTGAAGCAATTTGACTTTTGATGTAAGTATTCCAACATATACTGCTCAACCTTGAACTGCTCGCCATCTCCACTACCGGATAGTGAATATCACGATCCTCGTTTATGATTGTATCACATTCAAACACTTTAATTTTCTTATTCACACCCGCAGTAGCAAAAAATTCTCCATCACGGTCAAAACTGAGTGAGCATACTAGATTGGAAGAATGCAAAAGATCTCCTTGCTTCAGGTCAGCCTTAACCTTTAGCTTACTGAAAGACAAGTATTTGCACAAACCCTCAAGGAAAGGATTTATCCAAGCACTTGTACCCTCCCTGCACTGCTCTTTTGATGCTAAGTTATTGATGCAACTTCCTTCAGTTGCAACAACAGACCCTCTACCATCATTTTCTATAGGTGAATGTCTAACCACTGGTTTCCCTGAGGAATAGGCTGATCTGCATCGTGTTAAAAAGTACGCTGACTCTAGTTTCTTAAAGTTCTTCATTAGCCGTGAACTTTTCTCAAGAAAACTTCCATGATTTTTCTGATCATCACCTATGTCATCATCACATTCCTCAATGTTTTTAACATGCATCCCTAGTCTAACTCGTTTTCTAGTCCCTAGACAACCAGAATCCTCACTGTCATCCATTGTCATGGATGGGAAACTTGATGCTGAACGATCATCACTCCCTAGTTCAGCGCCAGTAATCTCTTTAAATCTAGTTTGCCGCTTGGTCACTTCTTCAATATCTGAACACAGAAAAGAGATAGTATGTTGCAGCTTCTCCGCAACTTCCTGTTTTCTCTGTTGAAGTAACAAAAGGAATTCTAGCAACAACTCTTGATCCTCTATCCTTTGTCTAAGCTCTATCGCTGCTTCACGATCTACCATATCATCTCTCTGTTCATTAAGGAACTCGCTTTGCAACAACTCCCTGATACACAAGGAAACAAAAGGTTTAAAAATATCTGTGATGTTTATGACAGGATTAAAAATGGCTTGATCAGCCAGGATCTTGGTTCTTAGCTACTATATTATATAGCAAAGTCTACGGAAGCTCTTCAGATGAAGAAATTAAGAAACATAGGATTAGGTCTTCTTATTGATAACTCGTAACAAATAAATAGGCGAAAACAGTATGAATTTTGTAAATAAATGGTTGCAAACACTAGATGCATACTACAAGCATATGGTGCAAGAATTTGCTAACTCACCCTATCACACAAAAGCCAAATGCCCATGAATGCATAAAGAGAACTATTAAAAACTAGTATTTAGCCAAGACATTTTTAAAATATTTTAAGCAGGCAGCAAATTTTATCCAACATTGACATAGTTTTGGAAAATGATTGATAACCCATCTTCCACCTTCAGCAAAAACACAAATATAAGATATAAAACTTTTTAACAAAACTAATATGATTCAACACAGCAATATCGGCACAAAACTCACCATATAATCGTTCAAATTTATCTTATATTATTGAAACTATCTAGTTAGTTTCTCAAATAGACACATCATAATGGGCTCTGTATCCAGGAGATATGTAGACCTTAGACCTTGATGCTAAAGTAATATCAGGAACTCAATGTAAAAGCAGCTAATAAGGATCTAATTCAAAATAGTTTGCCAATTAGCTGAATCAGAACCTCCAACATCTCATAAATTAAAGAATTAGAAAGAAAAAAAAAAAAAGGCTTTCAAGTGACAGATAATTGGAACATGTCACACACAATTTGGATATTTGAAATGCAAAAGCCAAGTGATGAAGATAAATTACCCAAGTGTTGGACGACTACTAGGTTGAGGGTGTAGTAACCATAAGCAAAATGAAGCTTCTTTAGGCCACTTTAGAAGTAACTGTGGAGGAAGAACTCTATGTCTAAGGTTAGACATTGTTCTACTCTTTTCTTCTCTTGAGCTAAGTGGACAGAATAGCTGGTCACATGTAGACATAGGATAATTAAGTTAGAGTACATCGAAATATAAATAGGGTCTGTCAACACTATATCTTACTTCCATTGTAACAACAAAGTGAAGAAGATAAAGTATATCAAAGTACCCAATTAAAATATAGGAACTCAAGAATTGTACAATTACTGTTATGAACCTCAAAAAGGAGAATCCCTAATCGGTAAACGTCCGAAGCACAGGAACTAGGAGTACCAGCAACCTCTTCAGGACTAGTGTACCAACTCATCTCCATTAGTAGTATCTGTTTCATTGGAAATGATTGATTCTTTCCTTCTACTTCTTCAGCCTTTCTTCTATCTTTCATTTTATTCTCTTCTGTTTCTTCTATTAATGATGCACGAGCCGCATACACAGCACTTGACAGCATGCAACTAGAATCTGTCAAAGCAGTTGTTGAAGTATTGACAGGCATAAAATCTTCACTTCCTAAACTCTGCTGATGCATATCATGGGGACAGAGAGATGTTGGAGTTTTAACCTCAACACCTTGGTTATTCAATCCATCTCCCAAAGAATCCGAGCTACTATCTGAACAAGATGCTGATTCAATAAATGAGATATGGTTGAAAGATGACATGACAAAGCAGGAAGGCCTCACATTATGAACTACAACTCCTTGACAATGCGCTAAATTAACAATTTCTACTATTTGCTTAAATATGTGGAAGCATTCAAAGACATCTACTGATCTTTCAGGTTTATCTAACCACTGCCTCAAGCTAATATCACCCAATTCTATAGAACAAAAAAAAGGGTCAGCCTCTACTTCATCCTCACAAAACCCAGAAACCCCACCAAGATTCTCAGGCTTATCATCTTGTGCCAACAGAACCCTATCCTTTTCCTTTTCAAAACCAGAATCATGTGATGCCTCACCAGAGAAGGGGTTTCTTTCAGGACAATGAAGCCTTTGGTTCCTGTCTGAGACTCCAGAACTATTTAAGGCCCTAGAACTTTCAGACTTCTGCCAAGCAGACCCAGAAGAACCCTCCATTCTTATCCAGTTAGAGTTGCATGTAGGCCAGGTACAACACATGCAAGAAATAGAGGATTTCACACGCTTGCACCTCCACCAACAACATGATAACTCAAACTCATTTCAATGGTTCCGGGAAAGCCACAAAGACCCAATATCAAGATCAACCTCTCAGCTTTTTTTTACATTAACATGATCAGACCTTCCTGCCAAGTTAGAAATGAGAATTTACAAGCTTTTCAGGATGCAAATAATCCCATTAAATACAAAGCAGTTTGAAAATTAAAAACTAGTTCAAAAAAAGGCAAAAACAACATAGGTTTCTCAACTTCAAAGCAGACAACTCCAACTCTAGGAAAAACAACATAGACCCTCCAAAAAGACCAAACTTTTTCCAAATTGATCAAAATTTACAATCACCCTTCAGAGTCAACAAATGGGCAGATAGACACATGTATAGACAAAGAGAGACAAAGAGGCACATAAAGAGAGAGAGACAGAGAGGAGAGAGGTGTACCATATCACCATAGGAGGATCTCCTGTTTCTGCTAGACCAACTTCAGAACAGAACCACACAACAAAACTTTTCAGTTGCACAAGGACACTGAAACTCCACAGCCTCATAAATTCCCAACATTTCTCTCATATAAAAAAAAATATCAGAAAAAGAAAAAGCAACCAAAAAAAATCAAACAAAAGTACAAAACAAAGAAAACCTCCCCCACATAAATAATAAGAAACAGTATTACTAATAATGATTAATAATAGGATAAAAATATTGTTTGAGAATTAAAAAAGCAAACTTGCCATATTTTCACACCCTCTTCCCTTGTTTCCATATTGGGTATCTATTAGTTACTTTATTTTGTTACCCTTTTGAAGCCTTGAGGAACACTTCATCTTCGTTATCTTCCCGCTTTATTACAAACAAACGACGTGGCTCTACCATAGCCTTAAGCCATGTTGAAGGAGATAGATTAAATTTTAGTAACTTGTGGGCCATCTTTGCAAATTCCAAAAAAGTAACACATAAAACACTGTGATTATTGTTATTACATGTAATAATATATAGTTATATACATATATGGTATTGTTTTCTCTTAGATGGAAACACATGGCATGCCCCAAAGTGGAAAAAACTTCCTAGTTGTGCGACAAAGACAAGATAATAAATTATAAACAATATGTTTTGAAGTAAGCAAAGTGTGATCTCATTTAATGAAAGTAACTTTGATGATAATAAAAAACTAATTACATATTAAGATAATCAATAGCACTACCACTCAGATAATCAGTTTTAGTGGTTGAAATTTTTAATCATTTACTTAACTTTAATACCTACTCGGGACAAGTGTTTCTTAATTTCAGGAGTAATCATTTGTTAATTACTTTCATGTTGTGTAGAATTTTAAGATTTCATAGATGAAAATACCCTTTTTGTCATTTTGTGAGATTAGGTTTTTGACGTGTTATTGTCTATATTTTTTGGTTTAGTTTTTTTTATGTTTATCTCTTATACACATATAAAATTACGAGTTTAAAGCTTTTAAAATTATTTTAAATAAATTTATCTAATATTTATTAAAATATTAAAAAATACGTGGGGCCCAAATGGACTCGTATAAAGAGAGAGAAAATATGAGTTTCGTATGTTATCTAAAGTAATATTATACATGGCTCATGTGAAGTTGAAGAAAAAAAAAGAAAAATTAGGACACACTTTTATATTTATAGAAAATAATTTTAACTCATAATAAGAGAAACATTAAACCGATACTTTTTTAGGGTAAAGGATTTCTCCGGTTAATGAAAATAAGTTATCTTCAGTGAGCTCAAAACGATATCGTTTTGGGACAGAAATCAAGGTATTTTTGTAATTATAATATATTGCAGGGTTATATTAATCTTTATCATTTTAATTTTTTAATCTTATAACTCAAAACAACGTCGTTTTGAGCTCACCGGACATAACTTTGTCTTCGGTAACTGGAGAAATATTTTTCCCTACTTTTTATGGGGAGAAAAAAAGAAAATGAAAAAAAAATTAATTTGTATTTTTTAATTAAAAAATGTAAAGTAAAATAGTAGAGAGAGAGGAAATAACATAGTGTTTTTCACTAAAAAATAAATAAATAAGATTCTTGTTTGATAAAGGAGAGAGAGAGAGAGAAATAGGAAGACCATTTGAAGTACAATGTTGTGTGTGAGTGTGGTCCATGGAAAGTGTCTGCATGTTTTGATTTGGACCACAAAGATAGAATTGAAAGTGTGTGATCTTATGGAACATGCAACAAAACCTATGTAAGCTCTAATAAATGCATCTGCCTGATCTTATTGCATTGTTGTTTTGTTTATCTCTACACCTTTCATCCCTTTGAATCGGTTGGTAGGACCTCAAACCCAAACCAACATGTCCCTTAAGTGTGGCTGCTATTTCTCTCACTTTTATATGTATTTTACAATGATTTAATGAGTATAATATTGCATTATGTAAGAAAACTTTCCTATACTTAGAATAAAGAGGAAAGAGAAAATAGAATAATAAAAGAAAAAAAAATATATGAACTTCACCTCCTAGTTGTGTGTGTAAGAAAGTTTTCTTGGATCATTTAATATTATACTCATAAATCCCATTTTACAATATAGTCTTTCATTTGTTAGGAGCAGAATAAATACAAACCCAGCACAAGTATTCACGAAAACAACGCTACTTTATTTTACATTTTAATTTTTGGAAAAAATATTTATCTTTTTAAATGACACAACTTCTATCATTTCACTCTCACAAAGAGGTGGGATCCACACCTTTATTTTTTTTTGTCAACTCTCTTTCTTTCTTTATCTATCTCTTTCTCTCTCTTAAAATGACACAACTTTACATATTTTAAAATGACACACACTATTACCTTAATTTTTTGGGAGAATGATCCCGAATGATTCTAATCTTCTAATGGAATATCTTATGTGATAATAAAGAATACAACCATGCTCAACAAAAATTTGATATTGAACCTTCTAAGTCTTAAAAAATATCCCTGTATGACTATCAAAACTTGCTCGAGTGCTCGACCATTGAATTTCTTTAAATTTGGTTTGTAATTTCCTTTCCAAGGTATGATCAATAATTGAAATATATATATATATATATATAGTTTAATATTTCTGCTTTTGCTATAGAAATATTTTTTCTATCGCGCTAACATAAAAAAATAAATTGGTCCCATTACTTTGTTCTCTCTTTTCTCTTTATAATAGAACTCATTCATTTTTATGTGAGTGTGACAGAAAAATTTCTTTAAGCAAAAATATAAATATTTTCTCCATAATATATATATATATGGGTTCGCTTTTTTAACAGTCAATGTAAATAATTTATCTACAGTGAGCCCAAAACGACGTCGTTTTGAGGCAAAAATCAAGGTATTTTGGTAATTATAATTTATTTCAGGGTTATAATTTTCATTATAATTTTTTAATTTTTCAACCCAAAATGACGTCGTTTTGGGTGCGAATGTAAATAACTTATCTACATTTACTTTAGAAACATTAAAGCCTATATATATATAGAGAGAGAGAACAATTATATTTACAAATTTTTTATTTACAAACTGCACTATGTATTACGGATAATACATACTACTTGAGCATGTACTATCCGTAGTACATAATATAATTTGTAAACAAAAAATTTATAAGCATAACATATATATATATATATATATAGGAGTAGGATCTTCTTACACCGGTGTAAGAGTTAGAATTCTTACATTCAATCTTAACCATTGATCCACTTGCATCCAATGGCTCACATTACTAAACAATTTGAGACGTTAGATATAAATGGAATCAACGGATAAGATTAAGAGTGTAACTTACACTGGTGTAAAATGATTTTGACCTATATATATATATATGTGGGGATGGATCTTTTGACTCTAGAGTAAGACTTACAACTCTTACTCTCCATCTCAACCTTTGATTTCCGTCCATCTAACTGTTATTATTTATTTGAAATTAATAATTAATTAATTAGTATAGATAACCGTTAGATGAACGGAAATCAATGGTTGAGATAAGGAGTAAGAGTTGTAAGTCTTACTCTAGAGTCAAAAGATCTCTCCCATATATATATATATATAATGGCGGACCTACAATTTTTTTTTATGTCTGCACATTTAGAATAAAAAAATAAAGGAAAAAAAATTTAAATATATTAAAATACAAAAGAATATAAACAAAAAAAAAAACTTTAACTTAACGTAAAAAAAAGTAATCAAGAGTCAACTAAACTGTTACAATAGAACATTTTATGTCTTCAACAAAAATTACGAGTCCATATTTAATCCCTTAGAAAAAAAAGTTGAGTTGTGGTTCCTCAGGATTCAAAAATAGACCCAGATAATCAAAATTGTGGTCCCTCTGAAATTTAAAAAGACCCACATTAATCCCTCTAAAAGACTAACATGGGTATATTTTGAAATTTAGAGGGATCACAAGATGATTTTTTTTAAGAGATTAAATTAGATCCCGTAATTTTTGTTGATGATCCAAAATATATTTTATTCTTTTTTTTTTCAAAAATTTTGAGTGTGCATTTGCACACACTTGCACATATATACGTCTGCCATTGTATATATATATGGAAAAAACATTTCTCAAGCTGCTTGAGATAAGTTTATCTCCGGCCACTCCAAAACTACGTCGTTTTGATTATTTATTTTCTTATATTTATTGATTCACCTTTGAATGGTTATGATTCCCTTTTTCTCTCTCTTCCTTTATCACCATTGATCTATCTTTGTACAGTTATGATTTAGTAGCCGGAGATAAAGTTATCTCCGGCAGCTTGAGAAATGTTAAGCTATATATCTATATATCTATATATATATATATATATATCAGGATCATTTTATACCAGTGTAAATTACATTCACAATCTTAATTGTTGATTTTATATATATATATATATATAAGGATTCTGATTTATTATATATTTGAGTCGTACGATGCAAGTAAATCAATGATTCAGATTTGGTGTAAGATGATCTTGCTCAATCTTAACCATTGATCCACTTGTATCCAATGACTCACATTACTAAATATTAGAGCCCTTAGATATAAGTGGAATCAATGGTCAAGATTGACAGTGTAACTTACACTGGTGTAAAAGTATCCTGAACTATATATATATATATATATATATATATAGATATATATATATATAGGATTTTATAAGAGTTATGTTGTAGGAAAATTGATTGTGTAATGTTATAGAGATTCGTTTTGCGTGCCTTAACTTTTTTAATTTTTTTTTGTTTTAAAAAGTGTGGGTCCCACCAAATGTTGTATGTGTAGGAAATTTGATGGTATCATGTTAAAGGACAAACTACAATCCCATATATATATATATATATATATATAAGGAAGGATATTCTTACTACCAAAATTTTCTACTACTAACTTATTACCTATCTAATCACCATTGAATCAAAGAGAGAGAATGCTAAAAAGTTTTTGAAAAAAAAAGAAAATGTTGATCAAAGAGTGATTAGATATGTAGTGAGTTGGTAATAGAAAATTTTGGTAGGAAGAATATCCATTATATATATATATATATATTGATTTTCTTCACATTTTTAGCGGACATAGAGTCTCTGCTTGGGGTAAAAGTTGGCGTTCTTGTGTTGGAGGTCAGAACAAGACCATAAACGTGTTGCAAAATGTTCCAGACATTTTGCACGATGAATAGCTGTTAGAATCACATGTCATAGATCATAGTGTTTTCAACTTTGAACATTGACTTGAAGAGCATAGTATGACTACCAGTTTAAATTTAGTTATTGTAAATGAATTTTTTCGAATTCGTTCAGTCATTGTTGGTATAAAGAAGTTTTATATCAGTACCTAGTAACATTTTCACATATAATTATTTATTGCTTCTATTATAATTAATAAGAAAAAAAGTGATGATAAATGCTAATATGTCAGAATATTAGAAAATATCAGAATTATTTTTATTTTTTAAAATATGTGGCGCTGTAAGCCTGTATGAATTAGTAAAGAACAAAAATTATTAACAGAGTAAAATATATCACATCTCTATATAATAATTCGGCGCCAACTGGATTCAACTTTCATCTATGACCAATGTTAATTACTATTATTTTTATATGGTACAGCCTATTCAAAAATAGTTGCTAAAGAAAAACTCTAGTCACTACAATAATATGACATCTTTTTATTTTAATTAATAATTATTTGTTGCGAGCACCGAAATGAATTCAATTATATCCCACCTATATATGCAACTAGAATTTTCAATTATCTCTTTGAGTGCATATACAGTCACACATGACATTAATCATTTGTCTCTTTGGGATGATTTATCTTCTCGAATGGGGCATTTTTTCCTTGTAAGAGGCTAGTTTTGTTTCTCTTCTTGTTTTCCTTCAGTTGTCCAAAACAAAACCAAAAAAATCTCTTAAACACCTTTAAATTAATTTTTAATCTATCAAACGTATTTTACGACATTTTGGCTCTACTCAAGTGAATATTTTGGGCTCTTGTATAATTTACCAGTAGGCCTCAAGTTCTTTTTTGGGAAAAAAAATCAGTTATAAATGAAAAAAAAATATTAAAAGTTAAAAACTCCCAAGAAAATCTTTTTTTTTAACATATATGCTAACTTTTTAGAGTCCTCAAATTTATTTCACTGTTTTACTCTTATTTTAAATTTGTATTTGTAAATTTTATCCTTTATCCTAATAATCCATTCTAACAACAAATTATTTCATCTTCCCTATTTCAAAACCATCAAAATAACTTTATATAATCACCAAACAATTTTTAACTTTATCTTTTAAGCCCCTTTCTTTAATTTGACCAAATAAGCTCTTAGTTCATTAAAAGAACTCCTTTTGATGCCATTTGTTATTCCTTATTTTGCAATAATTCTATGCAAATCACATAGCTTTCTAATCAATTTCAGGCTTACTGTTATTTACAGAATTGACAGTATGCCCTGAGAAGGATTGCCATACACAATTTCATTCATGTACCCGAAAGCTTTGGAATTTTATGCTAATTCCAGTTTGGAATTCAGATAAGGAAGTAGATAGAGACTAGTATACCACATCACAAATGGCTATACGCAACCATGTACCACAATGATGAAGCAATGATGCAACATGGAAAGATAGGAGAAGTAACAAAAAGAGAAGAATGCACATTACATACATACATACATAGCCATGTTCCGAGTGATAATTACTCTATCATAAGTTAAACATAAGGAAGACATGGTCCCCCATTACTCCACAGCTTAAGGCTGATAAGCTTTACAAGAATGGCCATATATTAGGAATTGCAGCTGTAAGTGGAAAGAAAATACATGTGATGTGATAAAGTGGAGGGGAAGATTCCTAAGCTAAAGAGTTACCTAACATAGCCAGAGGGGTGCATTTTTGCTAGGGATACCTTAACTCCCTGTACAGGCAAAATATAAAAGAAAATAAAAAGGAGGAAGGAGGGAAAGAATCAAATATTCTTAATAATGCTTTGCTGCATAAAGGCTCTAAAAACTCAACGACCAGAAACAAATAATGAATTGGTTATCTGGTTCCCCTCAGCTTGGAGTCTTCTCATTTTTGCCTTGTCCAAACGTGCTCTTCTAACTGCCTCTTGAATTTGGCGGTCATGGTCTTTCAACATCTGATCCATGTTGCTTGATGGAACTAGCAATGGACCAGAATAATGAATTTTATGACCCTTTGACCCATAACCAACCTGCAGCATTGTAAAAAAGAAACTGAGAGAGAGAAAATAATTTAGACAGAACTAAACCAAAATCACATATTAGAGTCCACTTCATAAACAAAACAATAAAATATGCATATCAAGACACAGAAGGTAGGAAAGGGAGAAGTTTAACTACTTACAAGATTGGGGTCTTTGTTGCTGCCTCTCCCTTCTTCCTTCTGAGGAGCATGTGCATGATGCTTCTGATCCTGTTGCATCATCGATTCAGAGGCCTCCTTGAAGGATCCTGGGAACCTGCTTATTAGTTTTGGAGCCTCTGCTTGTGAAGATCCAGATCTTTCTCTGCGATCGTCAGACAACATACTCCTCCTGGCTGCAACTAAGCCCGAGATTGTTGATAAGTCACCCCCCATTGAAATCTTTGGAGCGTCGTCCTGGTTCTTCCCGGCTTTAGCCCATGCAGCACGGTGAGTCAGTGGACCTGAATGGGAGGCTCTTTTATGTTGAAGTACCTGGGGATCCGCACTTACTTCTACAGTTTGTGATGGTCTTGGGGGATCAATGGGAAATCCAGAAGCAGCTTCTTCAGGATGAGGGTTAAATTTCTCACTCCTGCTTTGAGAATTAGCTTGCCCTTGTCTCTTCTGTAAAAAGCAAAAAAAGTTATGTTTTCAACATAAGAAAAACAGATGTCAACAAAATGAATGAGCACCCATTATGCAAAGAGGATAAACAGTATTACGAAAGGGAAACAGAAAGAAACTCAGTAATCATCAGGAAAATAATATAAATATTCAGCAAAAGAGAAAAGCCATAGCAAATTTCAAGTAGATGGCAGTACTCAGTAACAAGAATGTATAGTAATTTTTCACCTTGTTCAGTGTTTATTATTGCACAGATTTGGCAAGTTGTAAAATAAGAGGTGCTTGAAAGAAACTTCCTTATTTATAAATACCAAAGAAAACTTTAATCTCCTTTTTATTTTAACTTTTTTAGTTTAACTCCTAAGATGCACTCCACCTGGTGGGACAAGTCTTCATTATTTCTCCTAAGATGCCATGCACATATTTAATTGGTAGCATAGAGAAAGAGTTCATACAAAAGATATATCATGCACTTGAAAGGCTAATTGATCTCAGTAAACGGAACACTACGGAACACTATAATGCAGAAACAGCAATGACAAGTCCCCGAGATCTAGTCGGGTTAGTATTAAAATTAACAAGGAATATACCTGCATCGACAAGACCAGTTCAGCATTGGCATCAGGTGCAGGAATGGCTCGCGATTCTCTTGCTCCTCTTCTCTCAAGGTCGTGTCTCTGGCCCTTGCTTCCTGCTGCTCCTTGTCTGCAAATATCATAACAAAAAACATAAAACAAATCCAAGCCTGCTCTCCATGACAAGGAGTACATGAACCCAAGAGAGCATTACAGGAGAACTAACAATTTAACAACCAGATGTAATTCAGCTTGATTTATACTTGAAAAAGGGTATTCTGATATATTTTAGAATTATCAAATAATATGATACAAAGAGGTCTCTATTTATAGAGACCAAAAACCCTAATTCTTGACCTAATGGGCTTGGCCCAATACAACAAATACTAATAATAATAATAAAAGACCTAATATTTACAACACTCCCCCTCAAGCTGAGGAATAGATATTTATCATTCCCAGCTTGCTAGTAAGTTCTTGAAATCTATCTGAAGGAAGTCCCTTTGTCAATAGATCAGCTAATTGACGCCCAGTGGGAATGTATGGAGTGGTAATCAACCCGCTATCAAGTTTCTCTTTGATGAAATGGCGGTCGACCTCAATATGTTTAGTCCGATCATGTTGAACTGGATTATGAGCTATACAAATAGCGGACTTATTATCACATAGCAGCTTCATAGGTCCCTCACATTTTATTTTGAGATCATCAAGTACAATTTTCAGCCACAGTAACTCACAAATGCCTTGAGCCATAGCTCGAAATTCAGCTTCTGCACTTGATCTGGCAACCACATCTTGTTTCTTACTTCTCCATGTCACCAAGTTACCGCAAAGAAACATGCAATAACCAGTGATAGAACGACGGTCAGTCACGGATCCAGCATAATCAGCATCAGTGTAGACTTCTAAAGAGAGATTACCATCACGTCGGAATAACAATCCTTTACCAGGAGTAGCTTTAAGATACTGAAGAATTCTCTCTACTGCCTGCATGTGTTTCTCCTTTGGATCGTGCATAAACTGACTGACAACACTAACAGCATAAGCTAAGTCTGGCCTAGTATGGGCCAGATATATCAATTTTCCAACTAGCCGTTGATATTGTCCTTTATCAACTGGAGGACTCTCCTCTTCAAAGCCTATCTTGTGATTCTGCTCAATAGGAGTATTAGAGGGTTTACACCCGAGCTTCCCTGCTTCTTTGAGAAGATCCAAAACATATTTCCTCTGACTGATAAAAATTCCTTTGCTTGAATGAGCTACTTCTATCCCTAGGAAATATCTTAGTTTCCCAAGGTCTTTGACTTCGAACTCAGAGGCAAGTCGTGTCTGCAGAATCTGTCTCTCCACAAAATCATCACCTGTGATAATAATATCATCAACATATACAAGGAGCACAGTAAGCTTCCCATTTTGGGAGTGCTTGAAGAAAAGAGTGTGATCTCCTTGACTCTGTCTATATCCTAAGGTCATCATAACCTTAGTAAACCTTCTAAACCAAGCACGAGGTGACTGTTTCAATCCATACAAGGCCTTTTTTAATCGACAAACTTTATTTTCCCCCTTCACAGAATCAAAACCAGGCTAGATTTCCATGTAGACTTCTTCTTCTAACTCACCATTGAGGAAAGCATTTTTCACATCAAATTGATTTATATCCCAATTGTAATGGGCAGCAAGGGACAACAAGATTCTCACTGTATTCATCTTTGCAACTGGAGCAAAGGTTTCTTCATAATCAATGCCATAGGTTTGAGTGTAACCTTTGGCGACTAATCGAGCCTTGTATCTCTCAAGAGTGCCATCAGAATTATATTTCAGGGCATAAACCCATCTGCACCCTACTGCTTTCTTTCCGTTGGGTCTATCAATAACCTCCCATGTTTTATTTTTCTCCAACGCATTCATCTCCTCTTGCATGGCTTGAGCCCAATTCCCATCTTTCAAAGCTTCATGTACTGATTTTGGGATTGAAGTAGAATCTAGTGCTGAAACAAAGCTTTTGTGCTGCACAGAAAGATTAGCAGAGGAAACAAAATGGGAGATAGGGTATTGAGTACAAGAGGGACAGGAAGAACAAGTTTTCTTGGAACAAGATCTTTTTCCTTTTCTTAAAGCAATGGGTAAATCATCTGAAGCAGTAGTAATGGGTAAGTCATCAGAAACAGTAGTAATGGGTAAGTCATCAGACGTATTAACATCATGATCAGAAATATGAGATTCAGGACTTACCAGTGGTTCAGACGATTGAGGTTGCTGTTGAGGCAATGTGGGTTGTTTCCTTCTTTGATATACCAATTCAGGTGTCACAATCTTCCGTATCTCTGGTGTATTTGATGTATCAGTCATAGGAGGATCAGTCACAGGAGGATCAGACATAGACACATTAGGAACAGGAACAAGAGGAAGAGACACTGACACAGGTGAAGAAGTAGACACTGAAGATTCAAAGAAGGAAGGTGATGAGTCTTCTGGTGAATTATTCTCCCCCTGAAGATGAGGACCTTGGAAAAAGGACTCAGATTCCTGAAATGTAACATCCATAGAAACAAAAAATTTCCGACTTCCAGGGTGATAGCACTTGTAGCCCTTCTTATCAGGAGCATAACCAAGGAAGACACATTTAAGAGCCCTAGGATCCAACTTACTGCGATGCTGTTTATGAATATGAACAAAGACAACACACCCAAACACTCGAGGAGGAAGACTTTGCAAAGTTGCAACAGAAGGAAAAAAAGAAGTCATGGACTGAATAGGACTTACATGATCGAGAACCCGAGTGGGTAGACGATTGATCAAGAACGCTGCAGTAAGAATGGCATCTCCCCAATAGCATTTGGGTACATGTGTTTGAAACAGTAAGGCACGAGCAACTTCAAGAAGGTGACGATTTTTCCTTTCAGCAACCCCATTTTGTTGAGGGGTGTCTACACAAGTAAGTTCATGAATCATACCTTGATTTTGTATAAATTGGGAAAAAGAGTGATTGACATATTCAGTACCATTATCTGTCCTTAGTCTTTTGATATTTTTACAAAATTGAGTCTCAATCATTTTATAAAATTGAAAGAACAGTTGTGGTACCTCAGACTTTTCACGCATTAAGTAAACCCAAGTGACACGAGTGTAATCATCAATAAAAGAAACAAACCATTTATTTCCAGAAGAATGAGGGACCTTAGAAGGACCCCAAACATCAGAATGAATAAGATCAAAAGGTTCAACACTCTTAGTAATACTAGAAGGAAAAGACACACGATGATGCTTAGCAAATTCACAAACATCACAATGAAAAGACTCAACAGACTTAGACAAAAACAATGACGGGAATAAAGATTTGAGTAAACTAAATGGAGGATGACCCAAACGCTTATGATGCAGCCAAATTAAAGAATCAGCAGTTGATTGACCATGAGACATGAATGTGTGATCTATTACTTTATTTGCGGGAGATTGTGACACCAGATAGTACAGCCCACCTTGCTCTTTAGCACTACCAATCGTCTTCCCTGTGGCGAGATCCTTAAAAACACAATGGGTAGGGAAGAAGGTTACAGTACAATTCAAATCTTTTGTAATTTTGTGAATAGAAAGAAGATTCGTGGAGAGTTTAGGAACATGAAGAACATCCTTAAGATGTAAGGACTGCTGTAAGTTTATGTCACCAGAACCCGCAACTGATGTATGTGAGCCATCAGCTATGGATATTGTATGAGTTCCAATGGTAGGATGATAAGAAATAAAGGAGTCAGCACAACAAGCCATATGATCAGTAGCACCAGAATCAACAACCCAAGAATGTTTAAAATCATTACATGAAGAAATGAAAGAATGAGTTTTGGAGCTCATACCAGTCATAGCCAAAGCACTAGTATCAGATGGCTTACTCAGATAATCAAGAATGGTTCGGAGTCGTTCCAACTCATCTGGACGAAATGCAGATTGGGTCTCATTAGGTGCTGGGGTTATTTCAGAAGAAGTAAAATGCGCTTGACCACGCATCCTTGCCATCTTTTCTAAGACAGTTTGCTTTCCATAAAGGCGAAAGCATAAATCCTTGATATGACCTGTTCTTTTACAATAAGAACACCATCGATCATTTCTCTTAGGTCTAGAAGAGGTACCATCATAAAATTTTGAAAAAGAACTCCTTTGAGAAGAGGCCATACTGCACAGCAAATGGTCAAAGAAAAGCTCCAAGAAGCCACAAAATCACAAACAAATACTAAACAACGTCAGATCTGACCGGAACAGTAACACAGCGGCCGAAACAGTAACACAGTGACCGGAACAAATACCGGAACAAATACCAAACAACGTCAGATCTGGTCGGAGGCAAGAAATTGGTGAAAGAACAAACTCCAAGAAGCCAAGAAATTCTGAAAAAAATACCAAACGATGTCCGATCAAAGTAGAGAGCACAGATCCAGAACCGGCTTGGAGAGACGATCAGAACCGTGGTGGTCCGCGGCCGAGAACCACCGTCACGCGCTGTCACGCGCCGGTGAAGCTGGCGGCGCGTGGGATTCACGCGCAGAGACAAGGGCGGCGCGTGGAGGCGCGTCTGACCTCCGATGGTGCTGGGTTTTTCAGGCGAAGGTCGTCCGGCGAGCGCGATGGTTTCTGTGGCTGTTCGGAGTGAAGAATCCACCGGAAAAAGGTTACAATCGCGATGAACAGGTTCTGTACGGTGGTTCTGTACGTTGATTCTGTGAACGTTTGTTTCTGGTTGTGTAATAGACAAGAAAAAGAAAGAGGAACAGTGAAGCAATGGTCTTCTCGGTCCAAGAGGTCCCCGGAAAAAAAATTCCGGTGGCGGCTGATGGCAGCGAGAGACGTGAAAAAGAATAGAAAGGTTTCGTAGGCGCGGAAGCAGAGCCCTCTGGATCGAGAGCTCTGATACCAACTTGAAAAAGGGTATTCTGATATATTTTAGAATTATCAAATAATATGATACAAAGAGGTCTCTATTTATAGAGACCAAAAACCCTAATTCTTGACCTAATGGGCTTGGCCCAATACAACAAATACTAATAATAATAATAAAAGACCTAATATTTACAACATTTATTTTAACTTATATATACACCCATGAGTTATATGGAACATAAAAAGTACTATCCCCTGCTCCAGATAATTATTAGTGTGTTAGGGAAGCCACAGTATATGCCATGAGTGACAGTATTTTCATAATTTTTTTTTAAAACGAGAAATAACGAAATGGATGCTTGTAAGTAAAGTACTGAATAGAACTCGTAGGGGTTGGGGGGGAGGGGACTGGGGAGTGTGTGGAGGGTATTTTCTAAACCAAATCTATAAGATTCCTCTCTTCCAATTTGCCAAGCCAAAGTTGATCAACAAATATGAAGCGATTGCATTTCGAAAAGAAAAAACCAAAATCTTTGATAAAGAGATGCAACAACAATAATTGCAGAGATTATTTAATTAGATGATTTAAAAGATTTAGGCACCCTTCAAAACTGCAATTTTTATTGATACATTTGGCAATACTGAACAATTAACATATATAACAACTACAATTCTACACCAAAACACACCTTCTGGCTTCTTCATCTCGTACTTTGGCATCAAATTCTTTGCTAGGAGGATACTTTGGCAAGCTTGAAGGATCACAAGGTAGAGGCTTTGTTGAGAAGAACTAAATTGCAAGTAAACCAAAAGGAGAAAGTCATGAGCAATGCATACTGAAATTTAAAAACTATATTCTACTACAAAAATGCAGTGCAAAACTGTAGTTGAGCAAGTGATACTGAATAACAACTAACCAATAAGTGATAAACGCATCAGTTTGCTGATATACATATTAATTTTCTACCATGTCACAGTCATGGAGATAATACTAGTGTACACTTATTACAGTAATACACATGAGAAAGAAATGATGCAGGAGCATGGACTTATTTACAACATAAGCAATTAAGCATATATGCACAAAGATGACATAAAAACATTTTAAGGTTGCAGCTTTTAGAGAAACCCACAACCTAAGTTTCGAAAATAAGTTAAACTAATGCTTTTCCGAACACCAACATCCATTCTCCATATTTACTGTAGAGTTGCAATACATTACAAAAAAGGTGAATAATATAAATGACACTCAAGAATTTCACACCTCACTCTTCAAAGCAGATGCTGCACTTCCTCGATCAGCAGGATCTATGGACAAAAGGGTCTCTATCAGTTCTATTGCAGGTGCAGGAAAGTCCTTGAATGTTTCAGCAACACAACGCCTATATGGCTGTTGAGGCTTAAATATTGTTGCATGAGGCAACTTTGATTTTCTCCAATAGTCTTCAGAAGGTGAACCACAAAGTTTAAAAATTTTATGTAACTGCTCCACCTACAAGACAGAAAATTATGGTTTCTAATTAATTTTTTATACAACCAAGCTATTTATGCAATATGACCGTAAAAGAACATGATTAGGACATTGTAAATAGCATAATATTTATGTATTCGTGTATTTTTAGCAACTACCAATATTTTCTTGTTAACACAATCTAATTGATGTTTAATGAATTTTAGTAAGCCACCACATGTAATACAAAAGAACAATCTAAATTTCTTCTTACAATTGTGAAGAACAGATCACAGCGCATCACAGTTTTTCAACAGAAAAAAAGAAGGAAATTGCTCAAATGCCACATTTGAACTGAAACATCCAAGCACACATACCTCAGTTCTTCCAGGCATTATAGGCTTGCCAGCATACAGTTCAGCAAGTATGCAACCTGTACTCCATAAATCTACAGCAGTGCCATAGTAAGTGGCTCCAAGTAAGAGCTCTGGCGGCCTATACCAAAGAGTGACAACTCGGCTTGTCAGTGGCTGAATTTGTTTGGGATCGAAAAAGCTTGCCAAACCAAAGTCTGCAATTTTCAAGATTCCATTGTTGTCAATCAAAAGATTGGAACCCTTTATGTCACGGTGCAGTACACCACAGCTGTGGCAGTGATCAAGTCCGCATAAAAGTTGCTGCATGTAACATTTAACCTGCCAAATTCCAATAAGAAATTAAATCTCAATCTGAATATTTTTTATTTGTCCTGTAACATTCTGTCTTTAACTAGGCTAGTCTTTGTCTTTCCTGAAGTTTCTTCCTCTAAATTATAATAGTTTCTTTTCAATCCCAAAGATAGAAAGAATTAAAACTTTGTGGTTATTTTTCTTTCTTTCTTTTTGTGTCTTGCAGCTTTTTGTCTTTAACTATGTCAGTCTTCACTGGAAATTTTATTCATTAATTTAGTTTCTTCTACTTGTTTTCGATATCTTCATTTTCAGTTTTACAAAAAAAAAAAAGGAATTAAATTTCAGTGAATTCATTTAAGAAGTAAATAGAAATAATTATCTTCAACTATTAGCTCAAATAAATAAATTAAAAAAAGAAGAAGCAAACTTTTGGTTGAACATCATCACTTTTTTTTCCCCGGTAAACTGAACATCATCACATTAAAAAGCAATTGGTGGCAGCAATTCTCTCCCTTAAATATGTCGCAAGTTACATTTGCAGTAAATTGTAAAATGGACAGAGAGAAATAGAAAATAAAGAAGCTTCTGAAATTACCTGTGCTTCTGTAAACTTCAGTCCAGGATGTGAAGCAAGCCCAGCCAAGTCATGCTCCATGTACTCAAAAACAAGGTATAAGCTGCAAGACATCCTTGATGTAACCAGGCCTTCCAGTTTTATGACATTTGGATGATCAAGCCTACGCAGAATGTGAATTTCCCTTGCCATGAAGCGAACACTCTCAGGCTCAAGATTATCAAACCTCACTTTTTTCAAAGCAACAATCTTTTTTTGTTCAAGATCACGAGCTCTATAAACATTACTATAAGTTCCCTGGCCAATCTGCACATCAAAGAGAGGAAAAAATTATCATTCAATGGAAAAATGCATTCAGAAGGAAATATTCACATTGAAGTAAACTGAAATCAAGGAGAAAAAAGATAACTGTAGAAATATCTAAAAGCTGAAGTACAGAAGTCCCAAATTCTAACTTAATTTTATCTCAAACACATCAGAGCATGAATTCAAGAATGAACGAAATACAAACAAAAGTCACAGTAGCTTAGCCTAGGTCTTTCCAATGTGAAGTAGTAATAAATGAAGCATGCCATCAATAACATTCACATTCAATCATAAATTAAATTTCAGAACTTTGTACTAAATGTCATATAAAGAGATCTTAAAGATGAAAAATCACTTTGAAAACAATAGCTTGTATAATGTATTGCTTAGGATTATCAGCAAATAACAAGGACCAAGTACATTGATACAATGGAAAAAACAAAGTTCTAAATCCACCAGAGATAGTTTCTCTACCAAGGACTAAGTACATTGATACAATGGAAAAAACAAAGTTCTAAATCCACCAGAGATAGTTTCTCTACCAAGAGTTATTATCAGCTGAGAAATTCAAAAAAGTTTTGATACAAATTAAGCAATTTAGGCCAACTATTTGAAGGAAGAGCGCATAATTAGGTTAGAAAATTCAGCCCAGCATCATGGAAACTTTTATACTCATAATCAGGAAGGTAATGGGGAAGTTGGTTTCTCGTTTTCCACATTGCCACCATTGGCATAGAGTAGATTTTGGAAATATAGATAATTAAAAGTAAAACAGCAAAAAGATCAGGAAAAAAAATAACACGAATTACTTACTTAAAGAAAATGAATTCGAAACTTATTTAACATTTAAATCAATACTCTACTGGCAGTTGCAAAAATAATAAGAAAGCAAAGAAAGAAAAACAAGATTATCTGCATCAAACCAAAGCATTGTCACAATGTAATTATGCAGCCAGATCAAGGAAAGAAGCATACTTTATCCAACTTCTCAAAAGAATCTGCACGCCGCGGCAGCCATCCCTTGATAGCCTCTCCAGCCACTGCTGCCAGCCATGAGGGCCATCCAGCTGCAACCTGCTCCCCTTCCACGGCTTTGGGAACACTACCAATCCCTGGATGTAGAGCAACAGCATATTCCATTTTCTCCCTCTTCCTTTCAAAATTATCACCTTGCACTCTAACAGAGCCATTCCCTTGCTTATCAATCAAAGCAGTTCTCCCATCATTGTTATCATATCTATCCTTTACCCTATATGATTCCTCCCTCCTTGATGAAGTTCCCCTAGACACACGAGAGTCCAAAGCAGACTTGCTTGATAAACGCTCCCTTGGACTCTCCTTACTATCCTCAATGGCAGAGGGCTTGCAACACATGCAACCCATTATGCACATCAACTTCCCCCTCCCACAAAACCAAGCTCCAATCTCAATGTTTACCCTTTCAATTGCATTTCCAATATTCTATTCTATCTTATCCTATTATCCTCTTCTTCAGTTCCCATAACCATAACCACCAGACTCAGCCAGAACTCTTCTCAAATATTACACACCAAAAAAAAAAAAAAGTACATAATTTATTCACAATAGAAACCCACTACTCATCCCAACCCAAATTTGGTCACAAATCAGCAAACAAAAAGACACAATCCATCCATAAAAACCCAAGAACATGTACAATCCAACTAGCAGTAAAACCCTCAAATTCAACAAATCAAACCTCAAAAATCATAACTTTACTCTACCCACTTGAAGCAAAAACGTTGATATCTTGAAAATGAGAGTTCTTTCCACAGTAAAACAATTTTCCCAGTGAAAACCTGCTAATTTCCAATCCAGGAGATATCAAAGCCTGCAAATTTACAACTATAGCCAGATCCTCATAACCTTGTGAAAGGGAATTTCCAAGGCATGGCACCTTCAACATAGAGCTCCTGTTCCCAGCAGCACCCAAAGGGAAAGAGTGAAAAAGGGTAGCATTTGAACTCAGAAAGTGATGTTAAGGTTGGATAAGGAAGCCATGGATCTAGGGCACATAGGTTTGAGAGAAGAGAACCGTGGAGAGTGTGTTTTGGAAGATGAAGAAAGGGAACTAACATGGTAAAAGAAAAACATTTAATAGATAATTCAATTATAAGTAAAAAAAACATTTAATGTTGTCGCGGCGCATATTTATGTTGCAAAGAGGGAGTGTCCCCCTGCACTGCAGCTTTATGTGAAGAGAGAGAAACTCTTCACAAAACCCAAACGCATGAACATTCTTCTTCTTCTTCATAATATACAGCCACGCGCTCACTAAACAAATAATAATAAAAGAAAATTACTTTTATAGCCATGTTTTTAATATCGTAATATAGAAGATGATTATACTTACAAATTTTTTATTTATAAATTTTTATAAATTATATTATATATTTTAAAGAGTATACTCACTTGAAAATGTACCTTTCAGATTATATAATGTAGTTTGTAAACAAAAAATTATAAATATAAAGGGATATGTTATTCTACTTATCATTTTTTCTGCCTATCTTTGCTTACCATTCTTCAACACTGTTAGACCATAATTTGATCCAACGGTGTTGGAGGGTGGTAAGCAAAGGTAGGCAAAAAAATGATAGGTAGAATAACCTATTCCAAATATAAATTATTCCTATAATATAAGTGTTTAATGTTTCTCAAGTCATTGGAGATAAAAATAACTCCAATATAGCCTAAAATAATGTTATTTTAGGATTGAGAGAAAAAAATTAATAATAAATATTAATATAATTTTAAAATAAATTAAAATTATAAAAATTATATTTTTAAACCTCAAAATAATACTGTTTTAGGTTCTTGAAAATAAATTTTTTCCGCTTACCCGAGAAATATTAAACTCATAATCTAAACATGGTCATATATAGTCAAACTAAGCTGAGATTTTAAATCATTTATGCATTTTGAAATTTTTTGGTAAGGAAAAAGAGAATGTAAGCATTGTAAGATTGTTTTGAATAGCTAAGACTTGTGATTTTGTCTCGATTGTTAATTATAGTTAATCATTATATTTTATTTTTATTTTTATTTTGGTAAACTCTCAAGTTTGGAGAATGTGTTATAGTAATATTACACTCATTAATAGCATCATCTTATTTTTGCTCGAAAAGAGTAACATGAATTTCAGTTGAGCTTGTCAAAAAGAGAAAGGCGAAAACGAAATAACATTTTAATTAGTTTTGTGGTTGAGCTGTTATTGTTCGAGTCAACTGTATTGAACATACTTTCTTTTTTGTGATGAAAAGATCTACTAGAGGCTCTCTATAAAGTGTTTTACTTGTAGAATGCTCCTCTATCCCTTAATATGAAACGGAAAACAAAGAGGCTCTAATATCAATTGAGTAATTGAGTGGTGGATTTTCTTCTCTTTCCTTATAAGTAGAAATTAAGCAAAATAGATCTTTACAAAAATTCTTATTATAACAAGAGCTTTTTTCATAATAAAGAAAAAAAATCAAAAGACAAAATTTCATTGAAGAAACTTTTTTAAATTGTCTCAACTTTTTTTTTGAAATATGTATTTTTTTTGAAATGAACTACTTTTAAGTTAAAAAATTTATAAAATTATCAAACAACTTATAACTTTATTTTTAAAGTTTTTTTTTTAGCTTTAGCACAGATATCAAATAAGCTCAGAAATGTTTACATATCATAGCCTAATAATAATAATAGTTAAAGACATTAAGAAATATGAATAATAATTTCTTAATAATTAAATAAAAGTATTTTAAATGTCTTCAAATTTATATATGAATAATAATAATAATTTGTAGAAGGCTTTAATGTTTCTACATTGAACGTAGATAAATTATTTACATTCGCTTCCAAAATGATGTCGTTTTGGGTTGAAAAATTAAAAAATTATAATGAAAAAGACTAATATAACCCTGAAATAAATTATAATTATAAAAATACCTTGATTTCTGTCTCAAAACGAAGTCATTTTAGGCTCAATGTAGATAAATTATCTACATTAACAGTAGAAAAAGCGAACCTTTGTAGAAATGGATAAATTTCTGATTGTTTGACACAAATTTAAATAAATGTTCCATGAATTTCAGAAGTTGATGAAATTTTATTTTTATTTTTGGTAATCATGTCTATTTATATTCTTATATTTTGAATAGTTTATTTACGTTATTTGTCCAATAAATGACATAAATGTTGGATTTTTTTGGTAATACTGGAAAATTTCCAAATCAATGGATATCTATTCTCGTATGTCTTTAAAACTTAATAATAATATTTATATCGTTTAAAGCAAAATCTTAGTGGCACTTACAATTTTGGTAAAAATAAATAAATTAGAAAATAGATTTAATTTTCATCTAAAACTAACACATGATTTATAATTTTCGCTCTTATTCTATTGACTATTAATATTTTTTATTATAAAGACGAATACATAGTACTGTATTTCCATATATATGAAGGTTTTATTATTTCGTAAGATTAGAGTAGTACGAAAAGGGAAAAAAAAATAGATGTACGACACCAACAATTAGATATAAGAAATTTAAAATTAAAATCATTAGATCTGTTTAAAGGGTATTAAATTAAAAAAATATAAATAAATTTATAAGAAAGTTACAAAAAAAAATAAAAAAATTGTGGCCAACAAGAAGAACAACAATAACCTCTGTATGATAAACACATGCAGAAATTAAAACAAAACAAAAAAACCCTCAAATAATAGCATAGTTGATAAGCGGATTATGCTTAAGTAGCGAATTGTTGTGACTGAAAAGTTGCTGTTCAATTTTTATGTGAATCAATTTGGAGTCAATGATATCATACCACAAAAGGGATTAGTCTTAAATGCGATAAAATAAATGCGGCTACTAAATCACCTTTATGAGCTTATACTAAAATGAATTTTAAGTTTATGGTAAATAAAAAAATAATAATATCATGTTTCCCAAAACAGAGAAATTTTATCATATGCAGTTGATATCTATGATACATAGACACGCACTTTTTAGAAAAAATGTGCGTCGGACACGACACGTGTTCGATACGCCGTTAATATTTTGAAAAATATGGTCAATTTTTTGACATATTTTTTGTACACGCAGTCAATTTTATTTGACACGTGGTCAATGGTTTGACATATTTTTTTTTAGTTTTAATTTTATTTTATTGACTAAACATAAAAATAATTTTTTCCAAAAAAAAAACATAAAAATAATAAATTAATTTTTTCTATTATGAAATTTGATATGAAAAATTAACAAGGTACGAAAAATTATTTTTATTTATATTTATGTTATGAAATTTGAATATTTGATTAATTATATGACTTATTATGGATTGTTATATGTATTAAATATAAGTTATATTATATATATTAAAAATATTATTTAATATCAAAACGCCTCCCAACGTGTCAAAATATGATATTTTTAAAATTAACGTATCGACGTATCGTATCGTGCCGTAACATAAGTTAGTTACTACAAATACAAACCCTTCGTAATTAAAATTTTCTTTAAAGAAACACGTGAATTATAAATGAAAAGCGAAAAAAGATGAAATTTTGCCAAACACTTTATTAAACTATATAAAAATAGCAAACGAACCGCGTATTATAACATGCTTGGTTTCCCTCTCATGCCGTTGAAAAATTCTTGGACTACCATATGGAAATGGCATGGGCCTCAACGTGTTAAATCTTGTATGTGGATCATAATGCATGGCCGCCTTCTTACTAAAGACCGCACATCTAGATGGAGTGGGGAATCTGGTCATTGTAAAATATGTCCTGGTGAGTTGGAAACAAACCTCCATGTTCTAAGAGATTGTAAGCATGCTAGAAGTGTTTGGAATTCTCTGGTTTCAGCTAATCGGCAGAGCTTATTCTACAGCTTGGATCTTAGAGATTGGGTTGAAAATAATATCTCAAAAGCTTGGAATCAAAGTAATTCAGATGATTGGCGTGATGTCTTTTTTATCTCTTGTTGGTTCATTTGGGGATGGAGGAACAAAAGTGTCCATGATACTAACTTCAAGCATCCAACCCATGGAACGCACATAATTGCTATGTATATAGAGGAAGTTCGTAACTGCATGGGTAGGAAGGCTATGGCTACTACTAGCCCTCATCCAACTCGTATGAGTTTATGGAAACCTCCAAGGTTAAATTGGGTGAAGATTAATATTGATGGGGCAGTTGAAAGGAATACTGAGGTGGCTGCTTGTGGTGGGATTATCAGATCTGATGATGGCTCTTGGTTGGGAGGCTTTGAGTATCATATTGGTGCTTGCACTCCTTTAATGGCGGAGCTTTGGGGAACTCTAAAAGGTCTAGAATTGGTTTGGCAACTGGGATTTAAGAAGGTGGAACTAGAAGGAGATGCTTCTGAAGTATTCTCTTTGCTTGCTGATTGCAATGCAGCTTGTCAGCCTCGTATAGTGGCTAAGATACAAGCACTCATCGGTCAGGATTGGGAGGTAACGCTTTCTCATATTCCAAGAGAAGCTAATTCCTGTGCTGATTGGTTAGCCAAGTCTGCTCTTCACAAAGATACTGGATTCTGGAGTCATAGAGTTATGCCGTTTCACCTTGCTCAGTTATTTGATCACGATCTTCAGGAAATCTCCTCTTGTAGGGGTATAGACCCTGGATAGTTATTTTTTGTTTCTGGTTGTTAGTTTGTTTTTGTTTGGGGCTTCGCCCCTTAATGTTATCAAAAAAAAAAAAAAATAGCAAACGACATTATTAGCTACGCGTGGAGTCACATGCTTAAACAAGAGCGTGCAATTTGTGCAGAAAACTTTTCAACATAAGAAAACGAAGATAGAGTCGTTTGGGTCATTCACGCAGTTACAGTACAATCACTCGCACCGTAAAACCTAATAATAACACTTAGTAAATAATTTTTATTGAATTTCATTAAATAATATAGATTTATTTTTCATTTTCATTAAATAATATAGATTTATTTTTCATTTGATACAATTTTGTAAAAATTTATTTAATAATAAAAGAGAAAAGTGTTTATCATTTTAAATGATACAATTTATATCCTTTCACTCTCACAAGAAGGTGGGACTCACACTTTTATTTTTTTGTCAACTCTCTCTTCTCTTTTATTTATCTATTTCTATCTTTTAAAATAACACAATTTTACATTCTTTTAAATGACACACAATTTTCCAATAATAAAAAGTATATTAAAAAATATGTCATTT